GGCCAGAAGTCTGAAATCAAGGTGTCTGCAGGGTTGGTTCTTTCTGGAGACCCTAAGGGAGAATCTGTTCCATACCTCTCTCCTAGCTTGTGGTGGTTTCCAGCAATCTTTGGCATTACTTAGTTTATGGATATATCATGCCAATTTCTGCTTCTGTCTTCATGTGGTTTCCTTTCCTCTGTGTCTGTCATCTCTTAAGTTATTTGTTATTGGACTTAGGGCTCTCCCTAATCCAGGATGATGTTGCCTTGAGATCCTTGACTTAATTACGTCTGTAAAGACCCTTTTCCAAATACTGTAACATCACATTCACAGGTTCCAAGGGTTAGGGCATGGACATACCCTTTGGACAGCTGTAACTCAACAAGTGAGTCAAAATATTTTCATAGTAATACTAAGACATTATTTGCCTTTTTCATTGTGTTGACATTTGCACTGATGGTGCAAAAGCAATAGTAGGCAGAATTGTAGTTTCCTTAGCATGAGCAATGCAGTGATACCAGCTGCACCCGAGAAGGTGCAGGTGTGGACAGTGTGGGGAGAGAGAAGTGAGAAAAGCAGGTCTGTTCTAGAGCTGGGTATGTGGCAGCTGAGGGCCACCAAGGCTGGCCGTCGCAGAGCCACAGTAGGCCCTGGCAGAGCTAAGCAGGAACAGAAAGCTGAGGCTGAGGCAGAGCAGCAACTATGGGTAAGAAGACAGTGATACATATGAGGGTACCCTAGAAGCAGGCAATAATCAAGGCCTTGACAGGGTCATGGGTACCAGGCTGAGTCCCTCTTTCCTGGGGACAAATTTTTAGGGACCCAGGATACAAGATGAAGATATAGTCACTGTGGCAAATGTCAAATTTCAGATTTTGTCCCAAGGCAGAAAAATAAATGTGTACCCTCACAAAGGGACCATAGTGTCAACAGCTCTCATAAAGCATTGATATGCAGAGGCTGGATGCTGGGTTCAGTCTTGATTGGGTTTTGTCTTAGCCTGGGTTTTTCCAGACAGAAGGATTTGGGTGCAAATAGTTGATTCAGGAGTTAATCCCTGGAAGAGAATGAGAAAGTAGGTGAGTGAGACCTGGGAGGAAGAAAAACCAAGAAAGGTGGCCTTGATAAGTGGGTTACTACAGGGGGCAACTGGGGCTCAATCCCCCTGGGGAGAGTGTAGAATACTTAGAATTTGTTCCACAGACAGGTAGGGAGCTAGAGTATTTATCCTTCAATTCCTAAACCCCTTCTTTTTTTTTTTGGAGACAGAGTCTCAATTTTTGCCTGGGCTAGAGTGCCGTGGCATCAGCCTAGCTCACAGCAACCTCAAACTCCTGGGCTCAAGAGATTCTGCTGCCTCAGCCTGCCTAGTAGCTGGGACTACAGTCATGCGCCACCATGCCCGGCTAATTTTTTCTAAATATAGTTTTAGTTGGCCAATTAATTTATTTCTATTTTTAGTAGAGACAGTGTCTCGCTCTTGCACAGGCTGGTTTTGAACTCCTGATCTTGAGTGACCCACCCGTCTCGGCCTCCCAGGATTACAGGCGTGAGCCACCACGCCCGGCCGTCCCAGGGACTTTGAAGCACCTTAGTGAGGAGGAAGGCAGCCATTCTGTTCGATGGTCAGCAAGACCTACATTAGTCTTCTTAGACTATGGCCCGTGCCGGGCCCTAAACCCCTTCTTAACTCCCTAGCATGATGCCGTTGCCAGAGAAAACCAGCAGTGATAGAAATGCAAGAATCGAGTATACTGAATGTCTGGAGGTAGAAGCACTCTATAGGAGGACTGACTTTGAATCTTTTTCCTCAGACTTATTATTTAATATTTATGTGGATTTTATTCTCTGTGCTTCAATTTATGCACCTATAGAAGGATGATGATAGCAATTGAAACTTACAGGGTTGTCATAAGAATTAAATGACAAAATACATGTATGTAAAATGCTTAGAAAATTCTAAGGAGCAGATTAAATATGATTATCATGTAACCTCTGGAATGTTCATTAATCTCTCTAAATTAATTATAGTTACCTCTCTTATGATTCAGAAAGGTGGTAATTTATTTGGCATCAGTCACTCTTTTTTTGAGTAATCTAATTTTTTTTCTAGCAGATTTTCTGCTTCGCTGGTGTTTACAATTGTGAATTTCCCTCTGTCACTCATAAATATTCTTTAGCTGTGTGATCTTTCATTAACTGAACTGACTCCAGTTGTCTCAAAAATCTCAAAATTTTCATTGCTTCCACAAATAGAAATAAACAACTAAAACAACTAAACAACTTTCACTTCACCTCTCCCAGGATGACAACGCAAAACATGATTAATGTATTCATATTTTCTAACCACAATATAGATTTCTAGAGATATTCTGCATATATTTAACTGAAGTTTGCCTTGATAAGCATAGGTCCTTAATTTTTTTCCTTTGGCCTAGGCATCAACTGAGGTGGAGCTAATAATAGCCACAGTTTGCTGTGCTTAGCAAATTTCGGGGTATGCAGATCAAACTCTGTTGCACATGTCTATCTAGGATCTCTGAATGACTCAGGACTATAGAGTACCTGTCCCTTTGGCCGTTCATATTTTCTATCTCACAATGATGACTTAAACTCTTTATCTTGAGTATTACCATCCAAATTATACAGTCCCCCCCCCCACCACCAAAAAAAAATGAGCATAGTATTGCAGTTAAGACTAAGGGATATGGGGCCAGATTCCTTGGATTCAGATTTTGGCTTTGTCATCTAGTAGCTGGGTGAACATGGGCAAGTTTCTTAATCTCCCTTTGCCTCTGTATCCCCATCTGTACAATGGGGCTATTAATAATACCTACCTTGTAAGTTCACTATGAGAATTAAATGAGTTAATATTTGTAAAGTGCTTAGAACAGTACATACCTCTTAGTAAATGCCATCTAAGGGTTTTCTAAATAAAAATAGAAAAGTTTGTATATGTTGAGTGTTTAGTATTCAATATATACTTTCCCTTTTATGATTGATGCTTTGTGTGGGTGAGGTAGCCAATCATTTGTCTTTTTTGAGACCGTCATTGTTCTTTCTCTGGACAACTGCACTGAACTCCTATGGGGTCTTATCTTTGGCCTTGTCTCTTTTCAGACCATCTCATCAACTGCTGTTAGTAGTTCTAGTCATAACTCTGGTCTTCTCAAGCAATTTTAATGGCTCTGCATTAGTCAAGGTTCTTCGGAGAAACAGAACCAATAGGAGATATATGTTAGCAAATTCTAACCAGCAGCTACTCCTGGCTAAGCTGATATATATCTACGTAGTAAAGAAAGCTTTCAAAATTAATGTGTTTTGTTATAAATTTGACTCAAAAAAACCCACTGATTTTTTTAAAAGTAACATTTACTTCTTTACTACTCCTGTGAGAAAAAATAACAATAAATTATTTACAACAAAGTGTTCTTGGGGCAGAAGACTTGACATGGGTTACCACCTCTGGAGTCCTATCTATCATATATTTGGCTTCATCTCTCCGTACTCCTATACGTTTGTTACCAGGAAACGCAGTGTGCTAAAATCCTTTACTCTCTGGTTGAAAATGTTTTCACCAGTTATTTTACCAACACACATCTTTACAGACATCACCATTACAAATACAATAAACAATTACCTAAGCAATAACAACCATACATTCATCCAAATATAAGAAAAAGAACTGGGTTACATATGACTTTAAAAAAAAATGAATACACAATCAAATATATTTATTAACTATGTCATTTTTATAATAATACATTTTTTCAGATTGGCAGCCTCTTTTTCACCCAAACATATTTAGAAATATTTAGAGTGTCACCAATTTTCTTCTTTTTTAATAAACTTCAGTTTCTTTTTTTTTTTTTTCCTTATAAGCATGTTTTTTTTTTTTTTTTTTCACTTTTTTTTTTTAATTATTTTTTTTTATTTTGGCATATTATGGGGGTACAGATTTTAAGGTTTCACAAACTTCAGTTTCTTAAGGTAATTCAAAAACAGATCTTGAAGGTTCATGCAATTTTTAATTGATTGTTACCTTTTATTGTAGTACTCAAGTCAGTCTGATCTATAATTTGGAAAAAGTGATCACAGTTTTCCTTAAAAGTTTGCAAAATTGCTTTTTAAATGTTGCATCAAATATATTCATTTCAAGAAATTATTACTCAGTCTTCTCCAAAAGTAGATACTAATCTTTAGGCTCATTTGCATATCCACAATAACGGAAATTGGTACTGTAAGTAAACCTCTAAGCATACACTGTACATTTTGGATGCACTTCAGCTTATTAGAATGGTAATCAAAGTACATCACTGCCCCTAGCACTCTGGGAGGCCGAGGCGGGTGGATTGTTCAAGGGCAGGAGTTCGAAACCAGCCTGACCAAGTGCGAGACCCCGTTTCTACTATAAATAGAAAGAAATTAATTGGCCAACTAATATATAGAGAAAAAATTAGCCGGGCATGGTGGCGCATGCCTGTAGTCCCAGCTACTCGGGAGGCTGAGGCAGGAGGATTGCTTGAGCCCAGGAGTTTGAGGTTGCTGTGAACTAGGCTGACGCCACGGCACCCACTCTAGCCTGGGCAACAAAGTGAGACTCTGTCTCAAAAAAAACAAAACAAAACAAAACAAAACAAAGTACGTCGCTGCCAAAATAATTATAGGGAGCTCTGGGTAGTTCAATCTGTCAGTAACCTCAGTAATTTCAGGATATTTGAAATTTTTCTATTTTCACTATTTCAAACTTAAAATTAAAACTTACACTTTTTAACCATTGACTCATGTTACCATTTGAAAAGACAATGTAAAAAGTATTACAATTAAAGATAGTGTTGTGGTTGGTTTCCAAAATGGTTCCCATTCTGGCCTCCTGGTATAGTTTTCTCCCACATTGAAGGGCTGATCTGTGTAAATAATAGACTATGGTGAAAAAGATGGTGTGTGACTTCAGAGACTGGGTAATGAAAGATACTGTGACTTTCTCCTTGGTATTTCCTGAATTACATACTTTGAAGGAAGTTAGCTGCCTTGTCACGAAGACAATCACAACAGCCTTATCCATGAGGTGAGGAATGGAGGCCTCCTGCCAACAACCACGGGAATAAGTCACCTTGAAAGTGGATCCTCCAACCCAATCAAGCCTTCGGACGACTGCAGCCCTGGCTGACATCTTGATTGTAATCTCATGAAAGAACCTGAGCCAAAACTATTCAGGTAAACTGCTCTCAAACTCCTAGCCCACCAAAATCTGCAAGATAATGAATAGACATTGTTGTTTTAAACCATTAGGATTGAGATAATCTGTTATTCAGCAATAGACAACTAATATAGAAAATCAGATAGAAGCCAAAGTTACAACATAAACTTTTCAGTACTTTTTTCTTAGCAGAAAACTCTGCTAGATCAGGCATGGTGACTCGTGCCTGTAATCCTGAGACATTGGGAAGCCAAGGTGGGAGGATTTGCTTGAGGCCAGGAGTTAGAGGTTGCAGTGCCATTTGGAACAAAACATCTCTCAGGCAACTGGGATAGGAATTTATTTTGTGGGAGTTAATGGATAATTTTTTTGTCACAAAATATTTTTAAAGTCTTTTCATAAGATGGGAAATTTATTTATTTATTTATTTATTTATTTGAGACAGAGTCTCACTTTGTTGCCCAGGCTAGAGTGAGTGCCATGGCATCAGCCTAGCTCACAGCAACCTCAAACTCCTGGGCTCAAGCAATCCTGCTGCCTCAGCCTCCCGAGTAGCTGGGACTACAGGCATGTGCCACCATGCCCGGCTAATTTTTTCTCTATATATTAGTTGGCCAATTAATTTATTTCTATTTATAGTAGAGACGGGGTCTCGCTCTTGCTCAGGCTGGTTTCTAACTCCTGACCTCGAGCAATCCACCCACCTCAGCCTCCCAGAGTGTTAGGATTACAGGCATGAGCCACTGCGCCCGGCCGGAAATTTATTTTTGAAAATGCTGTTTTGGGTGGCCCTTGCAGACTTAGCAAGAAACCTCATATTAATACAATGAGTCCCAGTGATATTTTCATGGTCTGTCTTAGCATAATTTAACGTGTCTTTGACATATTTGACAGGAAAACATCCACTGGATGCCTTGGCAACATCAAAGCATCATTGCACATAAAAATTTCTATTTCTCTAGGCTTTTATGAAAAACAAGGTATTGGCCATCATGAAAAAGTGATATATTGTTTATTTTTCTTATCGATTGCATGTGACAAAACTTTTTAAGGGCTTAAAAATTCTGACAAGAACTCCCTCTTATAGGTCCCAGGATCCCGCTGAACTGGCTTGGTTATGGTTGCTGAGCTCTGCCTGACTTTCCTGCCTCTGCATCCAGACTCCTTCTCATCCCTTGGATTCCTTCTCTGCCTATCCCTGCTAAAATCATGTCTATGCTCCCACCTACATCATTTGCTAATATATCAAGAAGCTTCTCTCAAATCTTCCATATAAGAATAATCTCTTACAACTTAGGCCATATTCATTTATAATTATTCCTACATTTAGCAATTATAGTATGTACATTTTTGGAGTTGGAAATTTGGAGTTAAAGTTTTCTCCCACAGAATAATTTAGGTCCCTTCTGGATTTGAATTATCCCTTATAAGACCTTAGCTCAATTTTCTTTTCTTTTTTTTTTTTTTGAGACAGAGTCTCGCTCTGTTGCCCTAGCTAGAGTGCAATGGTGTCATCATAGCTCACTGAAACCTCAAACATCCTGGATTCAAGAGATCCTCCTGCCTCAGCCACCTGAGTGGCTGGGACTATAGGTGTGACCCACCACACCCGGCTAATTTTTCTATTTTTGTAGAGATAGGGTCTCCCTCTTTCTGAGACTGGTCTGGAACTCCTGGCCTCAAGCAATCCTCCCACCTTGGCTTCCCAAAGTGCTAGGATTACAGGTGTGAGCCACTGTCCCTGATCTCAAATTCTTAAATGGTAGGAGGCCTAACAGTATTTATGAATTGAAAGGTTACGTGCGCAATTCTTTCTGTACCCCTGGGACATAGTGGGAGGCTAGGAGAGTTGAAGCTGCTGGTGGTATAGAGCTGGGAAGAACCTTCCCAATAGGCAACGTGGTAAAAACTCCACAACTCCCAGTGCATCTTCAACCTGATCCCCATTTTAACCTAGCCCCTTTTTTCAACAAAGCATTGAATTCATTGGGTACCCACCTTTGACCTTCTTATGCCAGAAATCAATGAAAAAAGATTGACTTATAGAAATAATTTTACTGTAAACATTGCTGGGACAGATATGTTTCATCTTTTATTAATTTCCATAGCAACCAGTCTGGGCAACATAGCGAGACCCCATGTCTACAAAAATTTAAAAAATTAATAGGCCAGGCATGCACCTGTAGTGCATGGTGGTATGTACCTGTAGTCCCAGTTACTCAGGAGGCTGAGGCAGGAGGATCGCTTGAGCACAGAAGTTCGAGGTTGCAGTGAGCTGTAATCATGCCACCGGACTCCAGCCTAGGTGACAGAGTGAGATCCTGTGTCTTAAAATAAAACATTTTCACAGTAATATTTGATGCTTTATCTGAACTTTCTAGCTGAACTTCTTTTTTTTTTTTCTTTTGAGACAGAGTCTCACTCTGTTGCCGGGGCTAGAGTGCTGTGGCATCAGCCTAGCTCACAGCAACCTCAAACTCCTGGGCTCAAGCAATCCTCCTGCCTCAGCCTCCTGAGTACCTGGGACTACAGCCATGCGCCAACATGCCCGGCTAATTTTTCTATATATTTTAGTTGGCCAATTAATTTCTTTCTATTTTTTAGTAGAGTCGGGGTCTCGCTCTTGCTCTGGTGGGTTTCGAACTCCTGAACTTGAGGGATCCGCCCACCTTGGCCTCCCAGAGTGTTAGCATTACAGGCGTGAGCCACCCAGCCTGAACTTCCTTAATATTGGTGTTTCATTCGTCTAGGGGTTAATTATATGCCAACTACTATTGATGTGGAAATATATTTACTACATTTATGGAGCCTTTTCACCTCTTAATAGATTTAGTTTGATAATTAGCAGAAACAAACAAAACTCCTTTGGTGGTAGGTGATGAGATTTTTTTTTTTTTTTTTGAGACAGAGTCTCGCTTTGTTGCCCAGGCTAGAGTGAGTGCCATGGCGTCAGCCTAGCTCACAGCAACCTCAAACTCCTGGGCTCAAGCAATCCTGCTGCCTCAGCCTCCCGAGTAGCTGGACTACAGGCATGCACCACCATGCCAGCTTATTTTTCTATATATATATTAGTTGGCCAATTAATTTCTTCTATTATGGTAGAGACGGGGTCTCACTCTTGCTCAGGCTGGTTTTGAACTCCTGACCTCGGCCTCCCAGAGTGCCAGGATTACAGGCGTGAAGGTGATGAGATTTGATTTTACCCTACTTACAAACTAATAATTAGCCTGTTACTGTTTCAAAGATGCTGGCAGAAGGTACTAGACTGCTGGGTCAGGGACAAAGGACTTTTTTACTCAGGGCACAGCAAGCAGCATAAACTTCATGTTTGCGCTGATTCCCTTTGCCTTGCAAATCTCATGGAGACAAACGCAGAAGTCGGGGAGCCTGCCATTTTATAGCAAGCAGTAAGCAAACCTGTCCCTGGAGGGAGACATTACTTCATCCTTTGCTGCAAACATAACCCAGAGAAGTAACCCAGGTAAAGAGTGGTAAGTGCCTTGTATTCTTGACATACTCAACCAGATGTATGGAACTCGTGAAGGAGTATCTCTCCCAACAATTGCTATGAATGGCCATTATTTAGACTGAAACACTGAAGCTCAGAAAAGTTAATAGATGACTGTATTACATGACACAGCCAGTGATATCACAACTTGGGTTTTCTAAGTTTTAACTGGTACCATTGTCAAGAGACTTGCAGTGTCCAATATGTAAAATATTTCATTAATGATTTTTTATTCTGGCTGGGAGCGGCGGCTCACGCGTGTAATCCTAGCACTTTGGGACGCCAAGGTGGGCGGACTGTTTGAGCTCAGGAGTTCGAGACCAGCCTGAGCAAGAGCGAGACCCCATCCATACTAAAAACAGAAAGAAATTAATTGTCCCACTAAAAATATATAGAAAAAATTAGCCGGGTATGGTGGCCCATGCCTGTAGTCCCAGCTACTCGGGAGGCTGAGGCAGGAGGATCGCTCGAGCCCAGGAGTTTGAGGTTGCTGTGAGCTAGGCTGATGCCATGGCACTCACTCTAGCCTGGGCAGCAGAGTGAGACTCTGTCTCCAAAAAAAATAATATTAATTTTTTATTTTAATCATAGGTTTAAATGATATTATTTGGACATAAATAAAATTTTTTAAGTGTAATGAGTAATAGCTCATGACATATAACATTTAATAAGACATTATAATGTTTATTAAAATATCACCTATAATTTTATTAAAACTTATTTAAAATATCATCTATGATTTTATTAAATATTATTTTAAAATATTGCTAAATAAAATATTAAATATAATTTATGTGTTAATAAATATACCTTCACCTATTTCTTTTTCCTTTTTAAAATGTGGCTACTAGAAACATTTAAATTACATATATCATACACTCACATGTGTATTTCTTTTGTGTAGCACTGCAATAGACTATAAATGTTTTATTCCCCCTTTTCCTTTTTAATCCCTTGTTCTTAACCTTTTTTCTCCTTTTTTATTAAGTATAATATAGTAAATTTGTACCAATCCTATACCCATATAATCACCATCCAGATCAAAATATAAAACACTGCCGTCACTGCAGAAAGTTCTCTCAGGCCCGTTCCTAGACAATGCCTACTGACTCCCTTCTTTTATGGATAACCACTATTCTAACTTCTATCACCATCATTAAGTTTTTTCCTGTACTAGAACTTGTCATAAATGAAATCATACAGCATATACTCTTTCGTATCTGGCATATTGTGCTCAAAGCCATGTTTTTAAGATTTGTCCTCGGCCAGGCGAGGTGGCTCACGCCTGTAATCCTAGCACTCTGGGAGGCCGAGGCGGGCGGATTGCTTGAGGTCAGGAGTTCGAAACCAGCCTGAGCAAGAGTGAGACGCCGTCTCTACTATAAATAGAAAGAAATTAATTGGCCAACTAATATATATATATATAAATTAGCCGGGCATGGTGGCACATGCCTGTAGTCCCAGCTACTCGGGAGGCTGAGGCAGCAGAATCGCTTGAGCCCAGGAGTTTGAGGTTGCTGTGAGCTAGGCTGACGCCACGGCACTCACTCTAGCCTGGACAACAAGCAAGAGTCTGTCTCAAAAAAAAATAAAGATTTGTCCACATTGTCAAATGTTTTGGTAGTTTTGTTTTTATTGCTTTGTGGAGTTCCATTGTATGACTATACCACAGTTATCTACTTTCCAGTTTGTGGCTATTTGGGCTGTTTCCAGTTTGGGCTGTTATGAATAAGGCTGCTATGAACATTTGTGTACATATCTCTCTTAACCTTTGAAGAAAGATTGTAATATATCTTTAGTAAGCCACTCCCATCCAAGGCCCCACTCCCTCCTCAGTACCTAACCCAATGCCTTTCTTGTAGGATATTTATTGAAGTATGGTTTCAAAGTAGCAGTATGGTGATTTATTTGTCTTCTAGCCATCATATGGAAAATAAAGTCCAGTGTCAGAACAAAGTCTACTCAAAGTTTCCACTATTATCAGAAATAATGAATATATAGGTCAGGAAGTCAGTCTCCTGTATTTAAATGATGTATTTCGGCCTTGTTGCCAGTTAAAAATAGACTGGTGCTTCCAGATAAATTTTAGTTACTGATTATGAAAGAATGTAGATATTTCCTACGCCAATTTGTTTCCTAAAATTCCTACCCATTTTCTCTATCTCCTTACTCTTTTCTTTCTAACAGCAATTCAGAGAAAGGAAGGTTCTAAGTGGAAATATAAATGTTCAAAGAAATACAATGTGTTGTATAAGGAGCATTACTATTGTGGTAGTTAATTTAAAATTTTCTTTTTTCTAATTTTCTTTCCTTTATTTATTTATTTGGAAGACTACAAAAGCCAGACATCCTGTGTTTGAATCATGGGTCTGAAATCATGAATAGGGCTAGGGACTTAATCTCTGAGTCTCAGCTTTTGGGGATATATCTTCCATATAGGGTTGCTTAGAGGATTAGAAAGACCTAACCCATGAGAAGGTATGCTCTTTTGTAGCCTTGTTTTCATTAAATCCGCACCTTCTTTCTGCATGATTACTATTTGTGTTTCCTGTTCTCTTTGTCTCTCTGCCAAAGTTCCTAAACTATGTGGCCAGGCATCCCAGGGTGCCACAGCAAACTCACCAAGATCACTCTAGGGTATTTTAAATTTTAAAGGGAAACAGTGACATTTGGCATTTGTCAGACGTGGATGGCTCCAAGGAATGCACAGTTTCAACATTAGATTGTGGTACATTTCTTTCATTGATGTCATATCC